TTAGTGAATTCTACTCCTATTGTGAAATTGCATTTATCTACTTAAGAATTTTTGTAGTTGAATTAAATTCTGAATTTTCTGCTCAAATTTATTGTGAGTCTAAATAATAGAGTAAATTAGTGTCTAATAATTATTTTAATTGCTTCTCGTGGGATCGACCCGATACACATCTTGTACTACAATTGCGACCTGTATACTTGCAGTCCAACGGGTGTAAAATCGGAATTGAACTTGCATTGATATAAAAAAATTCCGTCAAGTTTTTGGCGCCGTTGCCGGGGAGCGGTAATATTAGGGCCTAATCATCTCTATTAATTTAGATATTTTTCATTGTTTTTATTCAAGTTGTTGAATTTAAACTGTAAAATTTCTCTTGTTTTTGTTTGTAGTGTTTGCACCGGGCGTCTCGAGAATTTGCACTTTTCGATCCAGAAATTGAGAGGACACTACATAGACAAAGGAGGAACACACTACAGCAAGAGGAACAAGAGATTTGGCAACCAATAGAGGAAATCTTAATAGAGCTTCCATTTGAAGAAGAAATGGCAGAAAACGAAACAAATGGGCGAGTTCTACGAGATTTTGCTCTACCGGAAACACAAGAATCTCAAACGAGCATAGCAAGGCCTTCGGTAAATGCTAACAACTTTGAGATTAAACTATCACTTATCCAAATGGTTCAACAATCTCAATTTGGAGGTAATGCAGTAGAAGATCCTAATACACACTTAGCTACATTCTTGGAAATTTGTGATACAATTAAAATGAATGGAGTTAGTGATGATGCTATAAGGCTAAGATTGTTCCCATTTTCATTGAGAGATAAGGCCAAACTTTGGCTACACTCTCACGCTCCTAATACTTTCACCGGATGGGATGATTTATCAAGAGCATTCTTAAATAAGTATTTTTCACCAGGTAAGACTGCTAAGCTTAGAATGGATATCACTAGTTTTAGTCAATTAGAAGGTGAATCATTATATGAGGAATGGGAAAGGTTTAGAGATTTGCTTCGGAAATGTCCACATCATGGACTGCCGGAGTGGTTAATCATACAAACCTTCTATAATGGTTTAGTTCCAATGATACGATTGAATTCCCAGGCAAAGGTTTCCACTTTGGTCCACACTTTTTCTTTGTTACAATTGAATAAATTTTCTCACTTCAAAATTTTCATCTTTAGTTCACACTTTCCCTCTATTCTTTCTCATCGTTCGGTTGGGTTTGAGTGCTGCCATATGCAGACACAACAAAAGAATTAGCGACGGTGGTAGCCAGCCAAAGAGCATATGAAAAATAGCAGTGACGAGGTTAGATCATCAAGTTCTCTTGAAATCGTTTGATTATATTGCTGTAATTTATTTATATTTCATTTGTTTTGTTTGTCAAGATTTTCTTGGGTAATCAAGGCTAAGAATTTGAAGATTTTAGTGCAATTTTGGGGCCGAAAATGTCCGTTGAAACATCTAGGAAATGGTTGTAGTTTTGATTGTTTACGGGTAAAATATGCTTAATAGCCATGTGAAACATCTAGGAATAGACTTAAGACCAGGCGTTTAAGTTAAATGTGATTAATTTGTGAATGCATATAAGATGTTTGGTGAAATGTCAAAGAGAAATTTGTATGTTGTGATTGCTACTCTGTGCGGGTGAGAATTACTAATATATTAATAATTCAACATGAGCTTTATAACTTGAATTCTTCAGGCAAGAGAGATTTCTCCCGTTTTGAAATTCTAAGTTGATATGCTTGATGGAGCAGATGTTATTGAACTGAACTGGTCTAAAATCATTGTTGCGAATCTGTTGTTTCTATGAAAATTTATTATCAGCCTCTTGAATTTTTTACTCCATGTTAACGTCTGCAATGCCACGGAAATTTGGCCATCTATGGAAATTTATTATCAGCCTCTTGAATTTTTTACTCCACTGTAACGTCTGCAATGCCATGGAAATTTGGCCATTATTACTCTTGTAAATCTGTTGCCGGGGAGCGGCAATATTATGGCCTAATCATCTCTATTAATTTAGATATTTTTCATTATTTTTATTCAAGTTGTTGAATTTAAACTGTAAAATTTCTCTTGTTTTTATTTGTAGTGTATGCACCGGGCGTCTCGAGAAGTTGCACTTTTCGATCCAGAAATTGAGAGGACACTACATAGACAAAGGAGGAGCACACTACAGCAAGAGGAACAGGGGATTTGGCAACCAATAGAGGAAATCTTAATAGAGCTTCCATTTGAAGAAGAAATGGCAGAAAACGAAGCAAATGGGCGAGTTCTACGAGATTTTGCTCTACCGGGAACACAAGGATCTCAAACGAGCATAGCAAGGCCTTCGGTAAATACTAACAACTTTGAGATTAAACTATCACTTATCCAAATAGTTCAACAATCTCAATTTAGAGGTAATGCAGTAGAAGATTCAAATACACACTTAGCTACATTTTTGGAAATTTGTGATACAATTAAAATGAATGGAGTTAGTGATAATGCTATAAGGCTAAGATTGTTCCCATTTTCATTGAGAGATAAGGCCAAACTTTGGCTACACTCTCACGCTCCTAATACTTTCACCGGATGGGATGATTTATCAAGAACATTCTTAAATAAGTATTTTCCACCAGGTAAGACTGCTAAGCTTAGAATGGATATCACTAGTTTTAATCAATTAGAAGGTGAATCATTATATGAGGCATGGGAAAGGTTTAGACATTTGCTTCGGAAATGTCCACATCATGGACTGCCGGAGTGGTTAATCATACAAACCTTCTATAATGGTTTAGTTTTTTCTACTAAAACTATAATCGATGCAGCTGCAGGTGGAGCTTTAATGGGTAAATCACCCCAAGAAGCTCATAATTTGATAGAAGAAATGGCAGCAAATAACTACCAATGGGCCAATGAGAGAGGTAATACAAGACGTCACGCAGGTATGATAGAAATGGACACTCTCAATATGTTGAGTGCTCAAATGAATAATGTGATGAAGTTGCTAAGTAGACAAGGTGGAGTTGGTCCAAGTTCATCTAATGCACATGTAGCATGTTGTTCTATATGTGGATGTGAATATGATACTAATGAGTGTGTTGATTCTGAGCAGGTACAATTCGTCAATAATTACAATCGTAATGCTCAAAATAACCCCCACTCGAGTACTTACAATCCAGGGTGGAGAAATCATCCAAACTTTGGATGGAAGGATCAAGGAAATCAACTAAGGCCAGCCAATCCACCGGGATTTCAATCAAGGCAACAACAAGCTGAAACTAAACCTGGTTGGGAAATGGCAGTGGAAAAGCTCGCAAAAGTTACTTCAGACAGATTTGAGCGAGTAGAAGGAAGATTGGACCAACTCACTACAATGTACAGGAATGTAGAGGTCCAAATTGGTCAAATTGCTAGTTTTTTGAATAATCGTATCAAGGAGAATTACCTAGCAAAACGGAGGTAAATCCTAAGGAGCATGTCAAAGCCATTACTCTTCGTAGTGGTAAGCAATTAGAAGATCCTCCAGTGATTGAAGTTGAGAAAGATGAGAATGAAAAACAGGAAAAAAAGCAGAGGAACCAAGAAGCGATAGTGGAAGAAAATAAGCCCCCTTTCTTGCCCTTTGGTCTTCTGAAGCATGTGCACCGAATTCCCTTGCAACTTATAGCTGGAAAGTAGTCTGAACACAAGAGAAATGGCTGAGCAAATTGCAGATTTTCGGCTACAAAACGCGCCTACACAAAACGCGGAATAAACTCGCGTTTTGTATACTCGCATTTTCACTCTGGCCTTATTTCAACTGCACTTTTCTCTATGATGAAGGCCGAACTGGCTTTTGTGCAAAACACAAAAGTTGTAACCCTTTGAGTTAGCTTTCCAATGCTATAAAAATCATCCAAATCGGAGTTGTGCAGCCTGAGATATGGTAGAAATACTATCACTTGGTCAAACCTTTTTTTCCAATTCCGACCACAGAGTGCAGCTTCTGTATTCCGACTTTTTGTCCATGAAAATGGCAGAATTGGATTTCGATGTCTCCATACGAATTGTAGGTCTCTTTCTTAGCTTTAAAATGGTATAAAGATCACCTCAAGTCGAAAAGTGTAGCTCCAGATATGATCAAAATACCGAAGAGTGTCAAAACTGATTTGTATTGCATTTCCTCACTTGAACGTTTTTCACTTCATTCTTCTTGTTACCACTTGAATTCATCACCAAATTTCTATTTTTCATCTCATTTGACATCCTTTGGTGATTGAATCATCATTCTTGCATAAAAATGAAGTTTTTATCATTAAAATCACTAAAAATGCAATGTTATCCACTTTTACCAAAAATATATAATTTTACCAAAAATCTCTTTATTTTATTTATAAAACTAAATAATCAACTCAAAATTAACTAATAAAATGCACTTAAAAATACGTAAAATAAACTCTTATCAAATACCCCCACACTTGAATCATTGCTTGTCCTCAAGCAATATGAAATTCCAACCATCAATGATCCAAAGATTAAAAATACACATATGTAGCATTTCAACTTCATTTCCTTGAATCAAGGTAAATAACCCTTGTGTGATCTTTCAATTAATCTCAAGTACTCATAATATCAAGCAAAGAAGAGCCAAGTATACCATAATTTTACTAATTCAACTCAATTTCTCATTTTTACCCAATTTTACAAGCAAGTAACTCATATAGTCAATAAAGATGCTAACTAATCTCATGATCAACTTCTTTTTTCTTAAATAGGGATTTATTTTCTTTTATTTTATTATTTATTTTATTATTTTTTTGTTTTATATATTTTAAGAGTTAAATACTCCTCAAATGGTCATTCTTGCTTCCAATTGTCAACCCTACAATACAAAAACAACAACTTAACTTAAACACTTATTCAAACCACAAAATCATACCAAATTAACACATATAACATAAACATTGGGTTGCCTCCCAATTAGCGCTCTTGTTTATAGTCGTTGGCTCGACTCACATATTAGGGTTCTTAAATTGAAGAGGACTCGCCCAAAAGACATATAAGCCCCTTGGGTACGATTTCACCTGCCAAGTAGGGTTTCAATCGTTGTCCATTGACCTTAAACCTTTCATTTCTTGAATTTGCCACTTCAACCACTCCATAGGGAAATACTTGAGTGATTTCAAATGGTCCAGACCACCTTGACTTCAATTTTCCTGGAAATAACCTCAGGCGTGAATTGAATAAAAGCACTTTTTGCCCTACCTGAAATTGTTTAGGAATAATGTGCTTGTCATGCCAATATTTGATCTTTTCTTTATAAATTTTGGCATTTTCGTATGCATGTAACCGGTGTTTCTCCAATTCACTCAACTCAAGTAATCTCCTTCCACCTGCAAGATTAAAATCTATATTAATTGCTTTAATAGCCCAATAAGCTTTATGTTCAATCTTTACAGGTAAGTGACAAGATTTTTCATAGACTAAACGATACGGCGACATCCCTAAGGGAGTCTTAAATGCCGTTCGGTAAGCCCATAGTGTATCATCTAGCTTTGTAGCCCAATCCTTGCGTGATTTATTCACAGTTTTCTTCAAAATGAGCTTTATCTCACGATTAGCTAGCTCCGCTTGTCCATTGGCTTGAGGATGGTACGGGAGTGATGTCTTGTGCCTACAGCCATATTTAAACAATAAGGAATCCAGTTGTTTGTTACAAAAATGTTTTCCTTCATCACTTATTATGGCTTTGTATACCAAATTTACTAAAAATATTCTTTTTAAGAAATCTAAGTACAATCTTAGAGTCATTAGTAGGTGAAGCAATTGCTTCTACCCATTTAGAAACATAATCCACTGCTACTAAGATGTACTTATTATTAAAAGAACTAGGAAATGGTCCCATAAAGTCTATACCCCATGTATCAAATAATTCAACTTCTAAGAAGGTAGTTAGGGGCATTTCATTCTTTCGAGATATATTTCCAGTTCTTTGGCATGCATCACAACTTTTAACATATTCCCGAACATCTCGATACATAGTTGGCCAATAAAACCCTGATTGCCATACCTTTGCCACAGTTTTTGAAGTGCTAAAATGACCACCTGTTTCAAGGTTATGACAATGATATAAAATATTATGTACCTCATTTTCGGGAATACATCTACATACCATACCATCGGCACAATGTTTATACAGCAATGGTTCCTCCCAAAAGTAACTTTTGACATCATGTAAGAATTTCTTCTTTTGATGGTAATTAAATCCCTTTGGAATCTCTCCACTTACCAAAAAATTAGCAATATCAGCATACCATGGAGAATTGATAATTGCTAGGACAAACTCATCCTGAAAATTCTCTTGAATAAGAACTTGATCCTTGACTGGAATATATTCTAGGCGTGATAGATGATCTGCTACTAGATTCTCCGTTCCCTTTTTGTCTTTTATCTCCACATCAAATTCCTGCGATAAAAGAATCCACCGAATTAATCTTGGTTTTGCATCTTTTTTATGTAACAAATATTTAAGAGCCGCATGGTCCGTATATATAATAACTTTAGATCCTACTAAATAAGATCTAAATTTATCCAAAGCATATATTACTGCCAATAGCTCTTTTTCTGTAGTTGCATAATTGAGTTGTGCCTCATTTAGCAACTTGCTAGCATAGTAAATGACGTGCAACCGTCCTTCTTTCTTTTGTCCCAAAACTGCTCCAACCGCATAATCACTTGCATCACACATCAATCAGCCTCTTGAATTTTTTACTCCATGTTAACGTCTGCAATGCCACGGAAATTTGGCCATCTATGGAAATTTATTATCAGCCTCTTGAATTTTTTACTCCACTGTAACGTCTGCAATGCCATGGAAATTTGGCCATTATTACTCTTGTAAATCTGTTGCCGGGGAGCGGCAATATTATGGCCTAATCATCTCTATTAATTTAGATATTTTTCATTATTTTTATTCAAGTTGTTGAATTTAAACTGTAAAATTTCTCTTGTTTTTATTTGTAGTGTATGCACCGGGCGTCTCGAGAAGTTGCACTTTTCGATCCAGAAATTGAGAGGACACTACATAGACAAAGGAGGAGCACACTACAGCAAGAGGAACAGGGGATTTGGCAACCAATAGAGGAAATCTTAATAGAGCTTCCATTTGAAGAAGAAATGGCAGAAAACGAAGCAAATGGGCGAGTTCTACGAGATTTTGCTCTACCGGGAACACAAGGATCTCAAACGAGCATAGCAAGGCCTTCGGTAAATACTAACAACTTTGAGATTAAACTATCACTTATCCAAATAGTTCAACAATCTCAATTTAGAGGTAATGCAGTAGAAGATTCAAATACACACTTAGCTACATTTTTGGAAATTTGTGATACAATTAAAATGAATGGAGTTAGTGATAATGCTATAAGGCTAAGATTGTTCCCATTTTCATTGAGAGATAAGGCCAAACTTTGGCTACACTCTCACGCTCCTAATACTTTCACCGGATGGGATGATTTATCAAGAACATTCTTAAATAAGTATTTTCCACCAGGTAAGACTGCTAAGCTTAGAATGGATATCACTAGTTTTAATCAATTAGAAGGTGAATCATTATATGAGGCATGGGAAAGGTTTAGACATTTGCTTCGGAAATGTCCACATCATGGACTGCCGGAGTGGTTAATCATACAAACCTTCTATAATGGTTTAGTTTTTTCTACTAAAACTATAATCGATGCAGCTGCAGGTGGAGCTTTAATGGGTAAATCACCCCAAGAAGCTCATAATTTGATAGAAGAAATGGCAGCAAATAACTACCAATGGGCCAATGAGAGAGGTAATACAAGACGTCACGCAGGTATGATAGAAATGGACACTCTCAATATGTTGAGTGCTCAAATGAATAATGTGATGAAGTTGCTAAGTAGACAAGGTGGAGTTGGTCCAAGTTCATCTAATGCACATGTAGCATGTTGTTCTATATGTGGATGTGAATATGATACTAATGAGTGTGTTGATTCTGAGCAGGTACAATTCGTCAATAATTACAATCGTAATGCTCAAATAACCCCCACTCGAGTACTTACAATCCAGGGTGGAGAAATCATCCAAACTTTGGATGGAAGGATCAAGGAAATCAACTAAGGCCAGCCAATCCACCGGGATTTCAATCAAGGCAACAACAAGCTGAAACTAAACCTGGTTGGGAAATGGCAGTGGAAAAGCTCGCAAAAGTTACTTCAGACAGATTTGAGCGAGTAGAAGGAAGATTGGACCAACTCACTACAATGTACAGGAATGTAGAGGTCCAAATTGGTCAAATTGCTAGTTTTTGAATAATCGTATCAAGGAGAATTACCTAGCAAAACGGAGGTAAATCCTAAGGAGCATGTCAAAGCCATTACTCTTCGTAGTGGTAAGCAATTAGAAGATCCTCCAGTGATTGAAGTTGAGAAAGATGAGAATGAAAAACAGGAAAAAAAGCAGAGGAACCAAGAAGCGATAGTGGAAGAAAATAAGCCCCCTTTCTTGCCCTTTGGTCTTCTGAAGCATGTGCACCGAATTCCCTTGCAACTTATAGCTGGAAAGTAGTCTGAACACAAGAGAAATGGCTGAGCAAATTGCAGATTTTCGGCTACAAAACGCGCCTACACAAAACGCGGAATAAACTCGCGTTTTGTATACTCGCATTTTCACTCTGGCCTTATTTCAACTGCACTTTTCTCTATGATGAAGGCCGAACTGGCTTTTGTGCAAAACACAAAAGTTGTAACCCTTTGAGTTAGCTTTCCAATGCTATAAAAATCATCCAAATCGGAGTTGTGCAGCCTGAGATATGGTAGAAATACTATCACTTGGTCAAACCTTTTTTTCCAATTCCGACCACAGAGTGCAGCTTCTGTATTCCGACTTTTTGTCCATGAAAATGGCAGAATTGGATTTCGATGTCTCCATACGAATTGTAGGTCTCTTTCTTAGCTTTAAAATGGTATAAAGATCACCTCAAGTCGAAAAGTGTAGCTCCAGATATGATCAAAATACCGAAGAGTGTCAAAACTGATTTGTATTGCATTTCCTCACTTGAACGTTTTTCACTTCATTCTTCTTGTTACCACTTGAATTCATCACCAAATTTCTATTTTTCATCTCATTTGACATCCTTTGGTGATTGAATCATCATTCTTGCATAAAAATGAAGTTTTTATCATTAAAATCACTAAAAATGCAATGTTATCCACTTTTACCAAAAATATATAATTTTACCAAAAATCTCTTTATTTTATTTATAAAACTAAATAATCAACTCAAAATTAACTAATAAAATGCACTTAAAAATACGTAAAATAAACTCTTATCAAATACCCCCACACTTGAATCATTGCTTGTCCTCAAGCAATATGAAATTCCAACCATCAATGATCCAAAGATTAAAAATACACATATGTAGCATTTCAACTTCATTTCCTTGAATCAAGGTAAATAACCCTTGTGTGATCTTTCAATTAATCTCAAGTACTCATAATATCAAGCAAAGAAGAGCCAAGTATACCATAATTTTACTAATTCAACTCAATTTCTCATTTTTACCCAATTTTACAAGCAAGTAACTCATATAGTCAATAAAGATGCTAACTAATCTCATGATCAACTTCTTTTTTCTTAAATAGGGATTTATTTTCTTTTATTTTATTATTTATTTTATTATTTTTTTGTTTTATATATTTTAAGAGTTAAATACTCCTCAAAATGGTCATTCTTGCTTCCAATTGTCAACCCTACAATACAAAAACAACAACTTAACTTAAACACTTATTCAAACCACAAAATCATACCAAATTAACACATATAACATAAACATTGGGTTGCCTCCCAATTAGCGCTCTTGTTTATAGTCGTTGGCTCGACTCACATATTAGGGTTCTTAAATTGAAGAGGCTCGCCCAAAAGACATATAAGCCCCTTGGGTACGATTTCACCTGCCAAGTAGGGTTTCAATCGTTGTCCATTGACCTTAAACCTTTCATTTCTTGAATTTGCCACTTCAACCGCTCCATAGGGAAATACTTGAGTGACTTCAAATGGTCCAGACCACCTTGACTTCAATTTTCCTGGAAATAACCTCAGGCGTGAATTGAATAAAAGCACTTTTTGCCCTACCTGAAATTGTTTAGGAATAATGTGCTTGTCATGCCAATATTTGATCTTTTCTTTATAAATTTTGGCATTTTCGTATGCATGTAACCGGTGTTCTCCAATTCACTCAGCTCAAGTAATCTCCTTCCACCTGCAAGATTAAAATCCATATTAATTGCTTTAATAGCCCAATAAGCTTTATGTTCAATCTCTACAGGTAAGTGACAAGATTTTCCATAGACTAAACGATACGGCGACATCCCTAAGGGAGTCTTAAATGCCGTTCGGTAAGCCCATAGTGTGTCATCTAGCTTTGTAGCCCAATCCTTGCGTGATTTATTCACAGTTTTCTCCAAAATGAGCTTTATCTCACGATTAGCTAGCTCCGCTTGTCCATTGGCTTGAGGATGGTACGGGAGTGATGTCTTGTGCCTACAGCCATATTTAAACAATAAGGAATCCAGTTGTTTGTTACAAAAATGTTTTCCTTCATCACTTATTATGGCTTAGTATACCAAATCTACTGAAAATATTCTTTTTAAGGAATCTAAGTACAATCTTAGAGTCATTAGTAGGTGAAGCGATTGCTTCTACCCATTTAGAAACATAATCCACTGCTACTAAGATGTACTTATTATTAAAAGAACTAGGAAATGGTCCCATAAAGTCTATACCCCATATATCAAATAATTCAACTTCTAAGAAGGTAGTTAGGGGCATTTCATTCTTTCGAGATATATTTCCAGTTCTTTGGCATGCATCACAACTTTTAACATATTCCCGAACATCTCGATACATAGTTGGCCAATAAAACCCTGATTGCCATACCTTTGCCACAGTTTTTGAAGTGCTAAAATGACCACCTGTTTCAAGGTTATGACAATGATATAAAATATTATGTACCTCATTTTCGGGAATACATCTACACCATACCATCGGCACAATGTTTATACAGCAATGGTTCCTCCCAAAAGTAACTTTTGACATCATGTAAGAATTTCTTCTTTTGATGGTAATTAAATCCCTTGGAATCTCTCCACTTACCAAAAAATTAGCAATATCAGCATACCATGGAGAATTGATAATTGCTAGGACAAACTCATCCGAAATTCTCTTGAATAGAACTTGATCCTTGACTGGAATATATTCTAGGCGTGATAGATGATCTGCTACTAGATTCTCCGTTCCCTTTTTGTCTTTTATCTCCACATCAAATTCCTGCAATAAAAGAATCCACCGAATTATCTTGGTTTTGCATCTTTTTTATGTAACAAATATTTAAGAGCCGCATGGTCCGTATATATAATAACTTTAGATCCTACTAAATAAGATCTAAATTTATCCAAAGCAAATATCACTGCCAATAGCTCTTTTTCTGTAGTTGCATAATTGAGTTGTGCCTCATTTAGCAACTTGCTAGCATAGTAAATGACGTGCAACCGTCCTTCTTTCTTTTGTCCCAAAACTGCTCCAACCGCATAATCACTTGCATCACACATCAATTCAAATGGTAGTGACCAATCGGGCGAAGTTATAATTGGGGCCGAAATCAATTCCTTCTTCAACCTTTCAAATGCAACCAAACAATTGTCATCAAATTGAAAAGGGGTATCTTTACATAATAAATCACATAATGGCTTTACTATTTTAGAAAAATCTTTAATAAAACGTCTATAAAAGCCAGCATGTCCTAAAAAACTCCTTATCCCCTTGACATTGCTTGGGGGTGGCAATTTTTCGATAACTTCTATTTTGGCTTGATCCACCTCAATTCCCTTGGAGGAAATCTTGTGCCTAAGACAATTCCTTCTTTTACCATAAAATGGCATTTCTCCCAATTCAACAAGATTTGTTTCCTCGCATCTCTGCAAAATCAATTCCAAATTATGAAGACAATGGTCAAAAGATGAACCATACACAGAAAAATCATCCATAAATATCTCCATAATTTTCTCAATATAATCAGAAAAAATAGCCATCATGCATCGTTGAAAAGTTGCAGGAGCATTGCATAAACCAAATGGCATTCTTCTAAAGGCAAAAGTGCCATAAGGACATGTAAATGTAGTCTTCTCTTGATCCTCTGGAGCTATAGCTATTTGATTATATCCTGAAAAACATCAAGAAAGCAGTAAAATTCATATCCAGCTATTCGCTCCAATAATTGATCAAGAAATGGTAGGGGAAAATGATCTTTTCTTGTTACCGTATTTAACTTACGATAATCAATACACACTCTCCACCCTACCACAAGTCTAGATGGAATTAATTCATCATTTTTACCCACGATTGTAGTCATTCCACCTTTCTTTGGTACCACATGAATTGGACTAATCCAAACACTATCGGAGATAGGAAAAACTATACCTGCATCAAGCCACTTAAGAATTTCATTTCTTACCACCTCTTTCATGTTTGGATTGAGTTTCTTTGTGTTTCCACCACTGGTTTGCAACCGTTCTCCAATAAAATTCGATGCATGCATATAGAAGGACTTATACCTTTAATGTCTGAAATTGTCCATCCAATTGCCTTCTTACGCCTTCTTAGAACTCTTAACAATTTTGCACACTGCTCATCATCAAGGTCAGCACTAACAATTACAGGTAAAGTATTTTCTCCAAGAAATTCATACCTTAGATGAGTTGGAAGTGGCTTAGCTCTAACTTGGAGGTTCAATTTCTGAAGGTTGTGAAAACCCTTTTCCTTGGCCAAGACTTTCATACAAATTACCCCTTTTATAAGGTGCTTGAAAATCCAAGTACTTGGCCAATTCTTCAATTTCTTCACAAACATCTTCTTGCTTACCTAAACTCATTAAACAATACTCAAGAGGATCTAAGTCAAAGTTGACTTGACTCATCTCTTGGGTTAGTTTATCAATTGTGCCAATAGAATAAGCATGATCGGTAAAAGAAGGGTATTTTTTATTTCATTCAAATTAAATTCTACCTCTTCTTCACCTACTTGAAACTTAAGCTTGCCATTTTTGACATCAATAATAGTACCTGCAAGCTAGAAATGGTCTACCTTGAATAATTGGCATAGATATATCTTCTTCCATATCTAATACCACAAAATCCACTGGAATGATAAATTTTTGAACTTTTATCAATACATTCTCCAACACTCCCAATGGATATCTAATAGACCGATCCGCTAGTTGCAAAGTAATATTAGTGCGTTTAAACTCATGCAAACCCAATTGTCTAGCCACCGTTAAAGGTATTAATGATACACTAGCACCAAGATCACACAATGCCTTAGAAAAATCAACGTTACTATGGTGCAAGGTATAGAAAAACTCCCCGGATCCTTCAATTCGGTGGTAGCTTATTTTGAATAATTGCACTACATTCCTCCGTTAATGCTATTGTTTCGCAGTCTTCCAACTTTCTTTTTCTAGTCATGATTTCCTTGAGAAATTTCGCATAAGACGGAATCTGCAAAATAGCATCGGCAAAAGGAATGTTAATGTGCAATTGTTTGAAAAGTTTAACAAATTTTTCAAAATCTTTATCAAACTTATTTTGCTTTAATCTTTGTGGAAATGGAACCGCAGGAGGTATTGGAATGGTAGCGGAAGATGATGGTTGATTTTCTCTTGATTTCTCCCGGCTATTTTCTTCCACTATCGCCTCTTGGTTCCTCTGCTTTTCTTCTTGTTTTTCATTCTCATCTTTCTCAACTTCCATCACTGGAGGATCTTCTAATTGCTTACCACTACGAAGAGTAATGGCTTTGACATGCTCCTTAGGATTTACCTCCGTTTTGCTAGGTAATTCTCCTTGATTACGATTATTCAAAGAACTAGCAATTTGACCAATTTGGACCTCTACATTCCTGTACATTGTAGTGAGTTGGTCCAATCTTCCTTCTACTCGCTCAAATCTGTCTGAAGTAACTTTTACGAGCTTTTCCACTGCCATTCCCAACCAGGTTTAGTTTCAGCTTGTTGTTGCCTTGATTGAAATCCCGGTGGATTGGCTGGCCTTGGTTGATTTCCTTGATCCTTCCATCCAAAGTTTGGATGATTTCTCCACCCCGGATTGTAAGTATTCGAGTAGGGGTTATTTTGAGCATTACGATTGTAATTATTGACGAATTGTACCTGCTCAGAATCAACACACTTATTAGTATCATGTTCACCTCCACATATAGAACAACATGCTGCATGTGCATTAGATGAACTTGGACCAACTCCACCTTGTCTACTTAGCAACTTCATCACATTATTCATTTGAGCACTCAGCATATTGAGAGTGTCCATTTCTATCATACCTGCGTGACGTCTTGTATTACCTCTCTCATTGGCCCATTGGTAGTTATTTGCTGCCATTTCTTCTATCAAATTATGAGCTTCTTGGGGTGATTTACCCATTAAAGCTCCACCTGCAGCTGCATCGATTATAGTTTTAGTAGAAAAAACTAAACCATTATAGAAGGTTTGTATGATTAACCACTCCGGCAGTCCATGATGTGGACATTTCCGAAGCAAATCTCTAAACCTTTCCCATGCCTCATATAATGATTCACCTTCTAATTGATAAAACTAGTGATATCCATTCTAAGCTTAGCAGTCTTACCTGGTGGAAAATACTTATTTAAGAATGCTCTTGATAAATCATCCCATCCGGTGAAAGTATTAGGAGCATGAGAGTGTAGCCAAAGTTTGGCCTTATCTCTCAATGAAAATGGGAACAATCTTAGCCTTATAGCATCATCACTAACTCCATTCATTTTAATTGTATCACAAATTTCCAAGAATGTAGCTAAGTGTGTATTTGGATCTTCTACTGCATTACCTCCAAATTGAGATTGTTGAACTATTTGGATAAGTGATGTTTAATCTCAAAGTTGTTAGTATTTACCGAAGGCCTTGCTATGCTCGTTTGAGATCCTTGTGTTCCCGGTAGAGCAAAATCTCGTAGAACTCGCCCATTTGCTTCGTTTTCTGCCATTTCTTCTTCAAATGGAAGCTCTATTAAGATTTCCTCTATTGGTTGCCAAATCCCTTGTTCCTCTTGCTGTAGTGTGCTCCTCCTTTGTCTATGTAGTGTCCTCTCAATTTCTGGATCGAAAAGTGCAACTTCTCGAGACGCCCGGTGCATACACTACAAATAAAAACAAGAGAAATTTTGCAGTTTAAATTCAACAACTTGAATAAAAACAATGAAAAATATCTAAATTAATAGAGATAATTAGGCCCTAATATTGCCGCTCCCCGGCAACAGATTTACAAGAGTAATAATGGCCAAATTTCCGTGGCATTGCAGACGTTACAGTGGAGTAAAAAATTCAAGAGGCTGATAATAAATTTCCATAGATGGCCAAATTTTCGTGGCATTGCAGACGTTAACATGGAGTAAAAAATTCAAGAGGCTGATAATAAATTTTCATAGAAACAACAGATTCGCAACAAATGATTCTAGACCAGTTCAGTTCAATAACATCTGCTCCATCAAGCATATCAACTTAGAATTTCAAAACGGGAGAAATCTCTCTTGCCTGAAGAATTCAAGTTATAAAGCTCATGTTGAATTATTAATATATTAGTAATTCTCACCCACACAGAGTAGCAATCACAACATACAAATTTCTCTTTGACATTTCACCAAACATCTTATATGCATTCACAAATTAATCACATTTAACTTAAACGCCTGGTCTTAAGTCTATTCCTAGATGTTTCACATGGCTATTAAGCATATTTTACCCGTAGACAATCAAAACTACAACCATTTCCTAGATGTTTCAACGGACATTTTCGGCCCCAAAATTGCAATAAAATTTTCAAATTCTTAGCCTTGATTACCCAAGAAAATCTTGACAAATAAAACAAATGAAATATAAATAAATTATAGCAATATAATCAAACGATTTCAAGAGAACATGATGATCTAACCTCGTCACTGCTATTTTTCATATGCTCTTGGCTGGCTACCACCGTCGCTAATTCTTTTGTTGTGTCTGCATATGGCAGCACTCAAACCCAACCGAACGATGAGAAAGGATAGAGGGAAAGTGTGAACTAAAGATGAAAATTTTGAAGTGAGAAAATTTATTCAATTGTAACAAAGAAAAAGTGTGGACCAAAGTGGAAACCTTTGCCTGGGAATTCAATCGTATCATTGGAACTGAAACTGAATAAGAAGAAGGTAGATGACTTTAAAGAGAAAGGTGATACCCAAAAACCGTTTTCAGGAACCAAAAACCATTTTTTTTTACTTAAGTATGTACATTTTTTACTTTTAGTATTAGTAAGTTTAATTTAACATAAGTAATTTTGTCAAATAATAAGTAAATTAAATTACTCAAGGTGTAAATTTCTGTTCTGACTAAAACTTATCTCTCAGGCATAACTTACTAGTTTTAATTAAAAACTTACTAAAGTTAATATTAATTATTTTAATAAAACATTTAAAAAGTCACTAAAAGATTTGATCTGTCACTAAAGGTAATAGAAACCTGTAATAGCAGGTTTTCCTAATATCGTTATCATAACTATAGGCACTCTAGCACTGTCCATATTCTGTATAGGCAAAACAAGAAAAGGTTGGGTTTCTCTTTTTCCGCTTTTCACACAAGTGGTAGAGTAAATACACATGTTTAACGTATAAAACTAAGCAGAAGATTTTTATCCTCTTTGCTCATAGCAGCTAGGTCCCTGATACGAGTAAGAAAGAAAGGGGAGAGACATTTTCCCCAATCCCCAGTTGTTTGTCAGCCACAATCCTACGTGGCCTGCAATATGACCAGTTAAAGCAATCGATGGCCGCGACCGGATAAGAAATCGATAAGGCAGTAAGGCACAGAGCTTGACAACCCTCAGATGGATTCATCAGTCAATCCAACGGACACAGATCCCATGAGAGATAATCCCTTGCACCCCAAAATCTCTCTATTTCTCCATCAGCAATTGCATTTGCGGGCTCTATATGTTATGGAACTTATGTACCATCTAGAATTCTACATAATGTTCTATTAAAAATGTTTTACATTCCAATCAAACCAAAATTGTTATTAGGCCAATAGTCATTACTTTACGTTAATTTTTTGTCGGTAACGAAAATTAACCGGTAGAATGGCCATATTCATATCACTGGCCATCACTTCACCGTGACCATGCAACTTTTTAAACATATTGCATGATTTCTAAGTAGGCCTGTTAGACCTGGACTAATTAATCCATTTTTTCCCCACGCATTATCTCAAGATTCATCCCATGTTTCGTCCCTTTCAACGTCTATTTCCTCCTCTATCTATCATGATAGTAGCATAAAGAGAAGAACACGGTGCTTGATGCCTTTCCTGATGCGCGCACAATGACTTTTCAATCAAATACATATTAATCATTAGATTCCCACAAAGGGCATTTAAGTGCCTATAAACTCAAAGCTACCAGGCTTCGACAGTCGCAACCAATTACAAAAATCTATTGCCAGTCAGTCTTGCTCGCGTCCTAGCTCCTTAAGGAAAAAATGGCCGCCGTCGGAGCCAGCGACAACATCAACATTTCTGAAATCACAGCCAACAGTAATATTCTATACATATTCTTTAAAAATTCACGCATTAGATTTATAGTTCGATTGCATTGCATGTTTATATTCTTTTTAAATAAAAGAGTGGTTTTTATGCTGTTTGGATTAAAACGGGCTTTGCTCCTTGATGGAAAACAGTGAAAGCGGAGGGAGTCCAGTCCCCTGAGATGGAAGCTATAGTGAAGGCACTTTCAGACGACACGATATGGAAAACAATCGAGGGATTCAAGGGCAAGGACATGAGCACTCAGGAGAAAATGATTGTATGTATGACTAGTTAGACCTATTTTTTCCTTCCCCCCCAATTTATATGCCTCTATTAGTTTTTTTTTTTTTTTTGAATGCTTACAATTAAATTCGCACATGCATAACAGTTTTTAATTGATTCGTTAGCAGCAGGCAATTTGTTTTCCAATGCTGATTCTGCAAGTTCTTAATTTTCATACATTTGAGTACCGAAAAAGTGCCATATAAACTTTGCATTCTGCATTGACTGGTTTTAACAAATTTTTTTTTAAAAAAAAAAATTCATGCACAGTAGCTATAGATAGTGTGAAATTCTTTATTTGAATACAAAAATGATTGAATTTTGAGGCCATAATAGGACCTTACAAAAAGCTTGTATGGAAACTTTTGAAAAAGTAAAAGGAGTTGCAATTGAAAGTAGTTTAGTTTGTACATTCTTAAATTGCTTATGCAATTTATTACTATTATTTTCTTAAATTGTAATGTAGTTTCATATTAGTTGATTGAATTTAGTTTTCTGGCTGTTTGTTTGAAAAAGAAATCCAATTAACTTTTTGTAATCTCAAAGACTCTTTTTAATTTGTGTTTTTTTCCTTTTTAACTAAATAAGAAATGTTTGTTTGGGGTTTACACTTTACAGAACAACATGATGGCCAGTGGTGGTCTAGCTCAACTCGGCATTCCTGTTCCAGAGCCGGTGAACCCAGATGACCCTCACGTGATCACGATCGCAAAATTTGCAGTGGAAAAGCAGAACGAGAATGCCGGGACAAGCCTGGTTTTCATCCAAGTGAATGGAGGCCTGCAGTGGAAAATTGTCATTGGCACTCTCTATATCCTTTTCCTTACAACTCAGGATTCTAAGGGCACATACACCGATCATGCAGTGGTTTTTGAGACCTTTTTGGGTCAGAAGTACCTCTTCTGGTACAAGCATTAATCAAGCATCACTGCCCGTCCTGATCGATCAATTGAGGATGACTAATGTACTCTATTAACTACGTACTTTTAATTATGTGGTGTCTGTGGTGTGGTTTGATTATATGCATGCAATGGATGTTTTAAACGATGGGTGCACTTCTGACATGCAGGCCATATTTGAGCTACTGCAATCAATTATTTGGCCGTCCTCCATTTATGTTCCATTGGATCATGGTAAAACTTGTCTCCTACTATATGCTTTGTTTGATTTACGGTGGAGCAGAGATCATGAGATCAAATACAATACACAAATCGTTCAAGCAATCAAGAAGAAAACAAAATCTTGTGGGCAATGCTGATGGAAAATATATGTTGAACTCATTCACCATTCGGTTTTCTAGCCGTGAATAGTGATTAAAAACTCTTGAAATTTAAGTACGGGTTTTTCTTACGAGTGCTCATTGACACTCGTTAACACAACTAATATACTTTTCCTCCCTTGCATTTGTATACTTTTCTTATTTAATTTTATCTATCGTCTTTTGTATTTATTTACTTTCTCTAATTAATCTTACATTTTCAAAAATATAACACCTGACATATATCTTAGGACACTCGTTAGACAGACCTTTTAAGTACATATGCAACTCATTTATACATGTTGGTAATACTGTTAATGAAGTTAGTATGAATTTAATTACATACACGGACAAATTAATTGTATATGAGAATCTAGCAACTGTAACCAAAAAAAGATTACCGGTTAATGATTGTGAAGTATTGGCTATACGGAGCTATGTTATAATGAGGGTGGGCAATTGCCCCCTACCCCTCAATAGTTGGGTGATATTTTGCCTAAGTTTCAATAGTTGCCTCCCTTACAGTAAAAGAAATGGAGGACAAATATGTAAAGCCTATTCATTTGCATTTAATGGATAAAGAATAAAGGGGTTTACTTTCAATATAACCCTAGTAAGATCAACAATGTAACTTCCTACTTTCTAGAAGAACTAATGTGATCATGTAACTTATTTGTAGAAGAAAATCAAGGAATAATTAAGAGAACAAAAGTATTTATCAAAAAAAAAAAAAAGAAGAGAGAGTGAACAAAAGTAATGCATTCTAAATTATAATATTCTGATTAGAATTCAAATTACCAAAGATAGATAGAGTTACTGTAAGTTAAACTCAAACCAAAGGCTTCTCCTAAAAAATCAACAAATTTCTATCTATGAAACTTTTTCATGAATTACAAGGATAGTAAAAAAATTGTAACATATTATATATTAACTTAATCTTTTTCAAGACATTGTCAATATTCTTCTTCTTTTTTTATAGTATTTTTAATGAAATTATTTTTAGGTATTTCATTTTTTTAATTGATTTAAAAACAAAGCTGTACTTCAATTACTGCTAATTTACTATGTTTAGTTAAGTAAAACATGCATATATTTTTTAATGTTCATGCTTGCATGAGTTAATTTACATAACAATTTATTCTTTTCAAAACATAAGTACTCGTCAAAGACAATTGTGAATATTATTTATTAATGTCGAAGTAGGAGATTATTTGAAAAAATTATTTATAATAACTTTTGTAATGTAATGTGTGAGAATTAAAAGGTGATTATGAATATTGATGCAAGCAAAATGATGTTTGAAAATTATTTGATATTTTAACACACATAGTTTTATTGTTGTTTTAGGTATGGATTTAACTGCATTAAGTGTTAACATTTTTCTTTGGTTCAAAACATTTGCATTTCATCTAAATTGTACTACTCATTATTATTTTATTTAGTTTAATTAACAACATGTGTTGAAATATTTTAGTACACAAATTTTGCCACTCCAACCCAGGGTCCTAACTCTGCCACTGCTATAATTCCATCCCAATGAATTCATTTTAATAAGCTTGTATCCAGACTTTATATGAAGTTTATTTCTTGTTGATTGCTTATCAGAAAAGGCAAATTTGCGGAGACATAACATTGGAGGCTTAAACTTGAAATTTTCCTTTGTTGATCGATAAGAAAAGCAACTTAAAATGAAGAAAGTTTATTAGTTTGCTATTTTTTCACAGTAACTCCAGTGCACAAACACTAATACAAACTGAAGTGGGAACAATTAAATTTGTTTTCAAACTTGTCGAAAGGTTTCAACTCCCCCCGGGGAGGGGGCTATGGGGTGGGGGTGGGGTGGGTGGTGTTATGCTTGAGGGATTGTGTGTTAACAAGGAAAGACGCCAACGGACGTTAATTGTTATGTTCAATTGTGGACTGGATCTCCACAATTATGTTAAATAGGGAAAAAGCTTCTAAAGTTAACGACCCTATACTTCTTTGGATGATTAGGTCACTTTTCTCTTTTTTTTTTTTTTTTTGATAATAAAAAGTTTGCGTGATTTTGACTCTAATCACCACTATGAGTTAGGGTATATCTGCGTGATTATAAGTCGCTTACAAAGGTTCTTACGGATCGATCACCAACATAACTCTCACATCAATTTTATGATTTGAACACACGACCTTTTATGAGAATGTGGCCCGTTCTTATCAATTGAACCCACTTTTATGCAATGGACTAGCGGGATTCGAACACACGACCATTTGATTATTTTTCAATAGTAAGGACTCTATAAGTTGACATTCTATAAAGTGTGTTTTAGCGAATTATACATGACTACATATGAATTATCTATACTGTATATAAAGTGGGAATCATGAATTTTGGCGTAAACGTTTTTTTTAATCACTTTTTGAACTTTTATTTTATAGATATCAAATCGCAGGTAGAGGCATATTAAGTCGGGTTTCGTAGAATTTGGCAATTGATTACCAAAAGGCACATGTGGAACTTTCATTGCCACTGAAATAGTAAACTAAGCCTGCGCTTATCTTAATTAACATTATTGTTTTAATTTACTTTCACAATATCGTCCAAACCTTCATTTATCCTATTAGCATTATTTCGATTTGCTTTCATTCATCTTAGACAGGACTAACCCACAGTAATTGAAACTTACTCGTAAGAAACTTCTGTCATTTCGACTTTCTCGATTGTTTAGAATTTCATGACCCTATAATACCATTTCCGCATTGCATCCTACATTAAGTACCTGTATGTTACTCCTTAAAGCAGCATTTTAGTTTTTCTTTTGGGGTTAAAGAAGGGGAGGAACGAGAATTAAGAAGCGGGACGGGGAGATGAGGGAAGGGAGATTTGAACCCAAAGACATTAATTCTTAGGGCATCCACAATGCTATCACACATTGTGGAATGTAATCTACATGTCACATTAACATTCCACTTTCTCCTCTTTTATTATACTTTCACTCATAATGGATTACACTTCACAAGGTGTAAAAACATGGGTCCACAATTAAATCAAATATTTATTTTAATAAGCATAACTCATATCCCATAAATAAATAAAGTAATTTTTAAAAATAATTTTGTTATTTTTAAAAATAAAGTACTAGCTTTCATTAAAGTTTTACCTTTTGAATTTTTTGAAAATTACCACAATGCTACAATTAGAAATTGTGAGCCAAGCACTTGCAAGCATCTTATCATCATCCACACTCCATGGAACGCATTTATAATCAGATTCTTCCATTGACTCATTGATGAGAGTAATGTTATCCACCCGATGTTGTGTTGAATATGGTGGAAATTGAGAGTCCAACATTGATTCCGTTGATGCAGCATTTTGTTGTTGGCCGCGCGAAATCAAAATTCTTCCTTATCTCCGATAGGGTATTTGAGCCTCCACAACTCATACCAAAGTTATAATACCCTGATATGTAGTGATTTCCCATATTTGGATTAAAATAAGGAGGTGGAGGAATACATGGGAATTGGATATGAAAAATTTGGTAGATTTTGAAAATTTGATGCATGATTGGAAGTGGATAAATTTAGGGGAAATGCATAATTTTGCACATTTGTAGGAATACCAAAAAATGGGTAATTTGGAAAATTTGGTGGTTTTGATTTTGTGAGGATGATGAATTTTCTATATTTGGAGCATTTAACATATTTGTAAAACTACTAAATTTTCATCCATAATCACAAAAGATGAATTAAATGAGTGAGAGAGTAAAAGAAATAATAGAGTAGAATTGTGGGATATGTTTTAAAAAAATGTGTTGTGTGTTTATATAGAAAGCTAAAATCTGACCATTGGAGTCTCATAATTTACCGTTGCTGCTATGACGTTGCTGGATAAAATTGGATATGAACGTGCTGGTTATGAACATTGCTGGCAAATTTACCGTTGGAGTTAAAATTGGATATGAACGTTGCTGACTAAAATTATTTTAAAAATAATTATGGATCCCACAGTTCATTGATTACACGCATAATGGATATTATGCGTGAATCTCCATGACATGGCTCTAATAGGAGACTGTGTCATGGAGCGGTGTAATGGGGGGCCATTATATCCCATTACACCGCGCTGTGGATGCTCTTAGAATTTCAACTTTAGTCATTAGACCAAATCCCTCTCGAATATTTACCTTAACTGATGAGCTACTTTCCAGATATTGGAGCTCAAATTCGCCATTCAGCTAGCGGTGACATTGCAGCTGTGCAAGCATGCTCCAATCATTTTTGATCCACCAGCCGCCAAAATTATTATGTAGCCCCTGACACAGTAATTGGATAAACAGAATCTGCAGTTGCTACATGCATGAAAGCAGATGGTTGATACTCCCTCCCTTTTTTTATAACTGACGTTTAAGAAATTTGCTCTAGTGTACTTTTATCTATCGTTTTATTATTTCCATATAGTATTAATTATTTTTCACAATTTTACCCTTTTATCTCTCTTTTCCGATACAGGATTCTTAATTATTACTCTAGTTTGGTGGGAGTTAGTTTACATTGCTTTTGACCTAGTAAAACAGCACCATTTAGTACTCTAGTGAGAGAAAACATGGATGAATTGGACAATTAATGAGGTACAAAAAGAAAGTAGTGTATAGATTTAAGCAATGAAAAACTTTTCTTAATTGATGTGCAAAATCTTAAAGGTTAGTTATAAAAAAAGGGAGGGAGTATTTCTTTAGCACTGAGAGTCGCAACTGATTCACACTTCGACGCCTTCCAACATAATTCAAAAGCATAGTTATATTTACAAGGCTAGACCTCACCAATGAGGTGTAGCTACACCTAGCTACACCTATAGAGAGAATGTATTTTAGTCAAATACTTGTAAGCACAAACTATAGATTC